TGTTCAAGCGACTCTGATATCTCGATGATCGACGTCAAGTAAGACCCATAAATATTTTCGACAAACCAAAACTCTTTGCACATCTTATGAAGAGGGGCCCAAGTTGACTTAACCACATACAACAATCACTTCATTCAAATGACTAACGAGAGCCAAGTAAAGAACTTTGAAATAAATTTACAAAACACGACTCATAATGTGCAAGAGGACGAGTACTGCATAATTAAAAAGCAAGTACAATTCAATAAGAAAAGACAACACACAAATAGGGAAATCAAGAATTTCATTACAGTAAGTTTGATACAAGCACAAAATTTCTACATCACAAGAATAATTGATCATTCACCTAAGTTGCCACAAAGAAACATATTGAAAAAACAAAAAGTGCCTAGATCTCGCCAAGTAGCATAGCACATACTCGACCCCGACAAAGAATCAGCTTAACTTCAGCAATTCCAAGACATTTCAAACAAGGTCTACCTCCACCATCAAATCAGAAATCCTTATTGACAAAACCATATGCCTTCTCAGAGAAACCTTCCAAAGCTACCGCATACTCCAAGCGGCTCTATCCTCATCTCCAAGAGTGATATTTGACTAATAGCTCACCCCTGATAGCAAATAGTTGGTCTTGTTGGGTAGAGAGTGACATCATTGAGTCACTTGGGTCAACACCTATCCAAATTGTTGTGACAACTCAACTACTCAGCAAAAAGAGAACACTGATTACAAGCACGTTTGAGAAATTAATGAGCTAAGCATAAGGATAACTCGGTCTCCAATACCTCAATTTGACACAATAGCTTCAATGAGCTAATATCTGCACCTTCTCCAGTAGCCATCCTTTCATTACCGAGCAACGTGTCAAGATCACAAGCGAACTTGAGACACCAAGTACCTAGCGAAGTAAGCGTTGCGCATTATCGAGCAAAAGCTCCAGCGAGCTCAACCCTGACCCTTTCATGGTCGTCACCTACACAAATACTAAAATAGAAATGCTCTACAAATTACTTGATAAAGAACAGGAAGACTACGAGAGAGGACAACCCTATAATTCTAGAACAACTTACCTTCAGTTATAACTTTTTTGGCGAATACCTCCATCACCTTTGTGAAGGCACTCTTATGCCTTGGTTGCCAACCAACCTAAAAATAAGAACTACATTAATTCAGCATAATGTCTTACAAAAATAAAATTAACTAATTAGAAACCACCCTAGCTTTGCACCACGACCATATTCTCGGGATGGTCATCATTTGTGAAGACTCACCTGCCATCCCCACAATTGGAACCATCTCGATAAATGATGCAACTATCGTTAACTTCTAGCTCGACAAGATGAGTTCAAGCTTCATCCTTTTTCTCCCCTCGGCACTGTTTCTCTTCCTACTTTTTCTCATCTCAATCAATATTGCCTCATCAATAACATCAAAGCCAACAAGGTCCATCTCTCTTGCTTCTTGAGCACAAATGGGGAAGAACAAAGAAAAACACTGAGGGTGGCACAAAACTCTCTCTATAAAAGTTGGAATGTAATTTATATGAAAATGGAGCACGCTGAGTGGATAAAACAGCAAAAATTAAAATCTATGAATAGAATCCCACATTGACTTTTCCTTGGATTTCACTATTTACTTTTTCTATACACTTTAAATGTTAATTATTGCATTGATGAGCTCCTTCAAGGCGAATATGCCTAACTCAACCAAGACCATCAAACAAGCCCGTTGGACTGATCCAACCAAGGTAGATGACTACCCTTGGAGAAGACACTTGGTCGATACCCTTGAGCTAATCCAACCAAGGCCCAACAACTCATCTACATCCAATAACGAACTATTAGTCATAGCCTGAGTCTATATTTGGGCTACCCACATTCTATATTTTCATGTTATTTTTTATATTTATTACATGCACACCTCATCTTGTAGCTTTTCTTATAGCGCTTGAAACCTTAGATTCTCTTCTATAAATAGGGGAGTTTAAGGAGAGGACGGATGCATGTTTTTGGTCTTCGTATATGTATTTCTGAGCTAATTTATTTTATTTTTTTCATTAATGAATAAACTTTGTATCAAATGTGATTGGATATCAAAAAGTTGTTCAATTTGTGCTTGATATGCTATCATTTATAACCTACAAGGGGTTATGTCTGATTCTTGAAAATTACAATTGGATGGCTCATGATTTATGAATGCTATAATGACTCATGAATATGTTATTATCCCTTTTACCATTCCTGAAAACAAAAACCAATGAAAAGCAAATCTCCTTTTCTTGTTCACAGCTTCACCTACATTTTTCGTTCAGTTTTGAACTTAGTTCAGATGTGATGTATTCTGAGTTTGAGAATAATGAGGCTCAAATCTAAATTTTAACTTTTTTAATTACTTTGTGTCATATATTTTTAGTTCAGAGCGTAATACCAATGATTAATTATTTTATAACTTTATAGGAACAAACATTTCATCTTCATGGAAACTTAAGGATATTGGAAGACAATATATTATGAAGAGAATGGATTATATATAGAAATAGTTTAAATTTCATGTACACTGATTTGAATTTTATTGCGCTTTTATAAATATTATTTATGTAGTTTTTTATTCAAATACTTATATGACATTATTGCATAGGTTGCACAATGTACCTATTAAATCTGCTTAGTTTTATTTCATTGTAGTATTTTGCTTTTCATTGTATGTATAATATATTCGTTAAATCTATATGCATTTCAAGTTCCATGTGGGTAATTTTGAGTTGCATTGGAGCAAGCTTAAAAAAATGAGTCAATTTGAGTGCACAATAAATATAAGATTTTGCACTGGCTCGAATCGGTTATGAGTTGACTCTAAATTGTGTCATAGCGTGTTGAGTCAATTTGACTCAAAAATATATTTCTGCTTCGAGTCAAATTCAGTTGAAGTAAAATTTAATTATTTCGAATTCAAGTCGTTTGATGAGCCCAAACTTGAATCAATGCCGCAACTAGGCGGGGGCAACTTCAGCCCGAGCTCCAAGCTATTTACAAAGTATAAACAATTTCTAAGTGCTTATTAACAAGTTTTAAATCCTTGTGACAAACAACCAGATAAGCTTGAAAGAAGAAATTACAGGAAACATTAGCTTTAGCAAAATTATGGTCAATTATGATACATTGAGTCAGAAGCAACCACAATTTATATGTTATAATTGACAATGGAATAGGGTAAAACTTGATATCAGCAAGCGAACACCTAAAAACCAACAGCAATACTCTAATGGTACAAACAAAATAATATCATAGGAGTTATAAGGGAAATACACCATTCAAAGCATTCCAAGAAAGCCAAGATGTTCATCTGCTTGATTATAGAATAACCTTACAAGGAGATATTATCCTTTAAGATTGCCCTGCTGTAGATGTCACAGATTGTTCTAATTATAATATAAATGTAACAACCTGTTAATCTGTTTTGGACTGCATTTGGATAAAATGCATGTTGAAATTCCAAGGGTTTCAGATGCTCCTAGTCACAATTCAAATTTCAAAACTCGCACCAATGAAACCTAAGGAAGATCCAATTATATATAAATGAGGAAAAAATATTGCATTCCATGCTGAAGAATGATGAGTATATCCAAAAACTCACAAGACAAGGGCTAGGAAAAGCAGATTTCCTTCCATCTGTCATTTCTATGTCTATAGGATTTCTTCATAAACTTGTTTATTCAATTCTACCCAACAATTCCCTGGCATCCTTACCCAGTCAGCCTCTAACCCTTTTTTATGAGATAACTCCACTGTGTATTCCAGATCCAATTCCTCTCCTTTTCTGTTGAATAAACAGATGTTCCTGATGCTACTCTGAGTTTTTGACACAGAAGACACACACATTTGCACACACATTTGCACACGGAAGTATTCAGACACTAAGAGACAAAACTGACGAGAGGAAAAGCATCGAAACTTTATCAAGATCATAAATGCTTGAATAATATCCGTAATATGTATGTATTAAAATGATAAATATGAGAAATTAGCCAGAGTTGGTTTTTCTTTTTGTTTTTCTGCCGTGCACCTATTGGAGTGCTGACTGGCAAGGATGGGGGCTTGAGGAAGGCAAAGTGAGGAATTAAGAATAGAGGAAGTATAAGAGAAAGGAGACAGAAGATATGTTAAAAAGACAAAGAAAGAAAGATGGTAAATATAAACTTCAAATTATCCAACATTAAAGAACTGAATGGCGAGCAAGGGGTATAACAGACTTCCATCTTTTACATGGATGAGTGACATTAATGCTGTGGATGTAGTGAAATATGCGGAAATCTCAGAGGAAACAAATCAAATAAGAGATAGCCTTCAAAGAATGGTGCCAACAGATCAAAACCACATATCCATATTAACTTGGTTTCAACCTTCCTGAAAAGACCAGTCTCAAAATAAGGAATGTCCTGAATAAATTACAACATGTTAGGGCCATGTTTCGAACACATCCAGTGCTACTGGTGGAAACAGCCGAGGCAAATCTTTTCAAACTGCAAAATGTCCAAGCGGGCAAACATAGAATATTTCATGTTAATCCAGCAACCTAATAATATCACAATCACGTCAGAGCGGTCTCTAGTTTTTAACCTATGCTTTTTCACACGGGCAAAAACAACACAGACATACGATTACAGAAAGAAAAAGATGAAAACCATATCAACTTATCTGTATATTCTAGAGTTTTCTCAACAGTCTATTAAGCAAAGCAAAAACCTTTATAAATGTAAAATACTCCTGTGATTTGAGAAAATTAAGGTGTCAATCAAGGAATCAAGATATATTGATGGCTACAGATGAGTGCCACACTACCAAATGAAATAAAACTTGGGTTTGCAGTTCATGCGGAGTTGGATTTTGTAGAAATTGAATTTAGTGAATTGATAAAGAAACTGTTCTTGTAACTCCAATGATGAAGAAATGCCTTTCTGAAAGAGATTTTAAGAAAGTAAAAACTAGCAATTAAGAAATAACCTTTCTGAAGGGCAGAACTCAAGTGAGGAAATCGCTGTTCCATGATGATGCTTCTTGCTCCAATGACAGATATCCATTTTCTTTACTTCAACTACACAAATGTCACCATCATTGCTGCCTCTGAATTAAGGAAAAGTAGGCATGAGAACCTTCACAATGCTTCAAAGGACAAAAGTAAAAAAAGCTGAAATAATGCCACATTTCACCAAATAAATGATCAATTTAGCATAAAAAAAATGCTGAAGAGTGACATCTTTTTTTATAAATATTTTTTTCCTATGCATTCCAATGTGAACGCTGGAGTAAACGGATCCAAATTTATGAAAATAGCCTCTTTGTATATTAGGGGCAATGCTTTCCCGAGTCTGCATTGGCAGGAGTCTCATGCACCTTTTTATTCTAAATTATGAGCATTAGCAGAACAATAGCAAGTGATAACTCCAACTCTACTTTAGCCATAAAGAACATAATAACTGACAAAGATAAGATATAACATGGAAATAGGATATTTTCATATTTTAAGTAAAAGTGATGACAACAAAGAAATATATCCAAAGATATCTACAGTTGCATAAAGATACACACATTAGAGATATCTACAATTGAGCATCCATCTATTTATCGTGCACGTGTTTGGATTACGCTAGTGCAGAATTTAGGAGAGTTGATGTATACAGATTTAACTCTATATTACATGGGGTATTTTTGTGATTCCAATATTTGACCTACAAGTCATAATGAAGGTGACCTAACAATAGTTCAATGTTCTCCCACTTACGCATCCATATAAGTATCTCAATTTCATGCAAATTGTAAAGTTTGGAAGATAAATAAACACCAATGAGTAACCCTTCTTGGATGGTATCTTCGAATCCATTCAGGAAAAATGCTGATATATCCTAGATGTATTTCAATTATTTTCCAGAAGTTTTAAATTAAGATCTGAAGCATGTTTACAACTGATAAATTATTCCTCCTAAAAATGAGGGTATTGAACGGTGGATGCTTAGTACCCTAAATTTACAGCAATATTCTTGATTACCAAATCAAAAGCATCAATATGGGTACTTCGCCATTGAGGCATCTTAGATTCATGGAAGACAATGGATAAGGAAGACCTCACTTCTATACTGAAGCTGAGAAACTCATCACATAGGTGGGAAGTTGAACTTGTTCTCCATCTGAAAATTATTCCGCAGCCATATCTCACTAACTAAATCCATGCAGACGACGATCATCATATTCTGGTTTAATAAGTGCCAGAAACTATTAGAGCAGTTAGATGGTTCAAAGACTAGTTTTGTATGCTTAGTAGCTTTCATAAAAGGTATTTCCAATTGATTAATCCACAAAACAACCAAACCTCCACTCCAACCCCACCTGCAACTGGCTTTCATAACCAAAGCTAAAGTTCAGATACAAACGTAAAAAAGAAAAAAATATCAGGTTATGTTAAAACTTGAATATGAACATGTTCTACATGTGTTCTAGCCCGTCCATGTTGCCTAAATTTCTTCTTTATTTAGTATGCCCACAGACCACCACCACTGCCCACAAAAATATGACGCGAAGTAGCAGTTAGAACAGTCGTTGAGGAATCATTGCCATCTATGGCAGTGATACAAACAATGCAAAAGGAAGGCTGACAAAGTGGCAAGACAACAGAAATAAGGATAACAAAAAAAGAGTTCGTTTTGTGAAAAAAGGAAAAGAAAGTCCCCTAGAATAATTTTCGAGCACTGCTTTGAGTGCAATGAAAGTATAAATGCAAGGTTAATGCCAGGGTTTTAGAGCTTTAATATAAATAAAATGAAAAAAGAAGTGGCTTTCATTTTCTTACAATGCTAGGTACTTCCCGTCCAAGCTGACAGAAAGTGCCGAGATAGGTTTTCTGAGTAACCTTTTGAACCCAATTCTATTCCACGTACTGATATCCCAAACAGCGGTGACCACCTTGCCTCCTGTCGCACATTAAATTAATGTTTTGCAAAATAAGCAGTCAGTCATTTGGCCACACAAACACACGCAAAATAACCATACCCTTTTGAATTGTGCAAAACAGAAAAGGTCTCATGCCATCCTTAGAGAATCGGCAACATTCAATTTTCTCATCCTGAAAAGGAAAAAAAAGAAAGTCAATATAATACACAAGGCATCAGAGACGGCTTAAATATAAAATGCACAGCCATCAAGAAAATGTACCGCATTTCGGGCCAAAGAAATCATTGGAGCTGCGTCACTTATTTTCCATATTCTTGCAGAACCATCAGTAGAGGTTGAAACCAAGAATTCTGAATCTAAGCTGTAGAAAAGAATTCAGAAGACAAAGTAAATAGGAATTTTATTGAACTGTTGATAAAAAAATTTACATCATTATGAGCGTTGTTTATAACCAAGTATATAAATAAATAAAGTACTGGAATAGGTACTTCTCAATATCTTCTTAGATTTGGTAATAAATAGGTTATGGTTCAACAAGACCAAACCGAGAATAAAAACCGCTATGGACACAATTCTCTGAAGATGAACTCACCAACTGAACTTGAAATGGGCTCATCAAGGAAGTTCTCCAAGAACTTGCCTGCCATGTTCCAAGTAGTCCTATTCTCCAGAGACCCTCCAGAATCAAATTGAACTCAACAGCTAGGTTCAAGGAATACTCGATCACCAAGTTGATGAAGAACTCGTCAAAGTCATAGAGAATTCAATGACCAAGTAATAGTCCAATTTTGGCTGCAGCCTTTTGCATTTTACAAGAAACAGACTGCTATTGCTTTATATATTTTTTTATATTTAGCATATTTTGCAATTTTTCCTATATTGTTCAAGCCCTGATCCCCACCTATAAATAGGAGGTCACCAGGAGAGACTGGGTTACATAATCTTGTACAAGCTAGTTTAAAAAATATTGTGCTATTGAGCTTTATAATGAAAATTTACTCAACTCTCCTTTTAAAATTTTTGTCTAATACATTCCCTTTTCCTTTGCATTAAATAAGATGCTAATGCAATCCATGGGCAGATAAATTAGAATCCAACAATAGTAGGGTAGTCAAAAATAGAAAATCGATAGGGGCATTTAAAGAATAAAATGAGAAAACAATGCCAACAAGCTAAAAACTAAGTAATGACAAGGACACAATCCCTACCAAAATGCAAAACCAAGAGTGCAGCAAGAGAGATGATCAAGAAAATTATGTTAGCCTGAGAAATAGTCAAATAAGGAGGTTAAGAAGGGAATCCAATCCTCACTTCAACGCTATAATCAACTCTTGGATAGAACAAGACAAATACAACGAGTATTCTATGAACACCTCTACAGTGCAAGCGATTGCACACTTAGGTAGAAGAGAAATCCGCAATGCTGAAAATACAAGAATGTAAGTCAAATGCATTAGAGAATTCGGCAAGAGCTGCATTAATATAACTTATAGTAGTAAATCAAACCGAACAAGATAGTCAAAGTACTAGAAAACACATCTCGTTCGCATAAACGCCATTATCATAAGCATGTTACATTAATAATTAAAAATCAACATCGAAATTCATATATCATTATGCTCATCTTATCAGATATCTTTTCGATGCGTATAAAATTCCAAACTTCCATTAAATCTTTCAAGATAGAAAGAAATTCAACACGTGAATTTAGCATTTAATATTTATCAAGTTGGTTGGAGCATAATTGCTGTACTTACTACAAAGTAACTAATGAATAATCATAATGGTCACAATCTCGTCATTTTAAATAGCCTCAAGAACAATATAAATAAATCTATGTGGTAAGGTGCTAAATATGAATTAGTGAAAGGGATGGATAGAAGAATAATCAATGACAATATTAATAGGTTCATGAAATATAGTCAATTTAAATAAATTGAAGTCTGAACAAATAATAAAACAACCACAACATTACAGTTATAAAGCAGTAATCCCAATGCATTGTATGATTTTAAATGAGACAATCTTTTTTGTAATTAATTTCTTAAAGGACTGTTTAGAAAGTATTTTAGGCCTCAAAGCAATATTATCTTATTACTTGACTTGAATTCTACATATCAAGAATTTCAATCAACAAACTTACAATTATAAAAATTAATAATTAATTTTTTTGCAAAGCTTCATGCAAACGAAGTAAATATCATGCTAATATTTGTGCAAACAAGCTAGGCATACAGCCAATATAAAGTTCAATAGCATCTATAGGTTTCCGAGATTGCCAGAGTAACTTCAACTGCAGTGGTGCATTTAGACATATTAATAGATGAATGATACGCAAAACCAGTGAAAGGCAGCATCACTCAAACAACTACTCATCTTGTTATGTCCATAAATTTATGGAACCTTTTAATATGATTTGATTGTTGAAAATCAGTGTTTAACAAATATATAAACTTTATTGCTGCGAGGAATCAACAATTTTATAATATGATATGATATGGACCATTTAGAAAACTGATCAACCACTATAAAGAAAGAATCATGTTTCCTTGAAGTCGTGATAATCTTACAGCAAGTACATTTAACATCCTTTGAAGCACCTTATGGAATAGCTAATAGTGTGTAATGCCCAATGTTATTTTGTTTTTCTTTAGCTATTTGGCAAGATTTACATCATGAAAAAAAATTCTTGAAACATTTCTTTTAAGACTTGACCAGTAATATCTATTAGAATTATAAGCCTAATTATTAGGCTAAATACTACTACAATTATTATTAGTTTTTATTTGATTTTCTTTGCTTCCTTTATTTCCGTTTCCACAGTTATGTATGTTCTAGTTTGTCGATTTCTAAATTTTTCTTTCCCTTGTTTGGATCTTGTAAGATCTATTTATACCTCTTCCTATCAATAAAAAGTATGCAACACTATTCTCTAAATTTAACATGGTATCAGAGCAAGGTTCTAACCCTAGATCCTCTACCTAGACGTCGGCCATCCGTAAGGCTCTCCCTGCAAGTTTTCTGCTTCCAAGATCAGCGCAAGCAGCTGCAGGTGCTTCTTTGCCTTGCTTCCTTGCTTCTGTCAGCCTATTCCCACCTTATGCGTTCCCATCTTATGTTGGCCTATTCCAGTCGCAAAAAATAGGTTGGGTTGCCGCCTTTGCATTTGTCACGCCTCCTTGCTGCTGCCAGGCTGTTCCCACGCTTCTGTCGGCCTGTTCTAGGTTCTGAGATTCTTTCTGCTGCAGAAAACAGGTTAGTTCACCTCCTAGTTGCTTCTACCTGCCTGTTCCAGCTACCTAAGATTCCTTTATGGCGACCTGAGCTTTCTCCAGCCGGCCAGAGTTTTTCCAACCTAATTTCCGTCGTCGGGTCTTCCTTTGTTCAGCATCCAAGATATTCCTATGTCTCGCAACCCAACATCACATTTGGCTCTGTTAGAATCATGACATACTCTTCCACCACCGAGCCTTCTCCCGACGGGGTACTCGAGTCCATCGGAGGGTCGACACTTATCTATATCCCTCAGATCGAAGGATCGGAAAATCAAATGAACTTCCTTATCACCACACATAAACTGAACGGTCGTGTCTTTGTTTGCCAAGAGAAACGGGAAATTCGGCTACCTCACAGTAATGACTCGTGAACCTCCTAGAGCTATCCCAATGTATGAAGTGTGGGAAGTGGAGAATTTCATGGTCACGTCGTGGCTGATTAACTACATGAAAATTGCGATTGGTCGTTCGTATATGTTTCTTCTTTCGGCAATGCCCTATGAACTACAGTTCGGGATACCTACTCAGATGTAGAAAACTCCAACCAACTTGACAAGGTTGCCTAAAAGATCCGCGAGGCGAAATAGGGATCGAGGACTGTGACTCAGTATTATAATGGTTTGATAGCATTATGGATGAAATGCAATCTCTACTATGATTACATATGGGAATCCCCAACTGATCTTTCCCTCTTTTAAAAAATTGTAGAAAAAGATCGCTCATTTCGAGTTTTCGCAAGTCTTGACAAAAACCTCGATGAAGTCTGGGCCAGTATCCAAGGTCGGGAACCACTTCCTTCCACTCGTGCTGCTTTCATAGAAATTTGATGTGAAGAGAGATGGAGAATTGTCATGCTAGACACTTCCACTTCAATCGAATCATTTGTCTTGGCCACTAATATTACCCAACTCTCATCTATGCCTCCTCGAACCACTTGTGATTGCTGCCACAAACCCTACCATACTTGAGAGAAGTGTTGCAAACTCCATGGAAAACCGATATGCAAACGATCAGCCAAATCCTCCTCTGCCAAGAGCCTCATTACTACAACTGAATCTGCTACGGTTAAACTAGCTCTCATTTGGAATACCCCAGGATCACCCATCTCTCTTAAGAGTCATATGGAGCAATTAATCAAGCTGCTGGGATCCAAACAGTTGACTTCCAACCCATCAACCTTCCACGCCCGTAAAGGTATCACCTCTATGGCACTAACTTCTTTTTCTAGTACATGCACCATTGTTTCAGAAGCCACGTACCACATGACTAGGTGCTCCAAGCTTTCTAAACAAAATATTCATGCTCTGGGAAAGACAATTAAAATTGTTTATGGCTCCTACAACTCAATTGCTGTTAAAGGATTGGTTGTGTTAACAACCGGTTTAACTCTGAAATCTGTGTTAAATGTCCTTCTGTTGTAGTGTCACATATTACCTGTTAGTAAACTGACACATGACATTGATTGTGTTGCTAGCTTTTCTCTTGATGTTTGAGTTTTTCAGGATTGTCATTCGGAGAGAATGATGGGAACTGCTAAAAGAGTAAATGGGCTCTACTTCTTCCAAGAGAAAGGCACGAAGAACATTGACACTTCTCCCAATAGTTGTAGTTTTTCTCGATTCACTAAATGTTCTATTAAATTGTTTCTTATCGTTTGGGTCATCCTAGTTTTCAGTATTTAAAACAATTGTATCCGTCGATGTTTACTAATAAAAATTTTGCTAACTTTAAATGTGAGATTTGTCAATTAGCTAACATCATTACGTTCCTTATCCATCTCATTCTTACACGCCTTCCGGTTCCTTTTCTCTTATTCACAGTGACTTCTGGGGACCCTGTCGCACTCCCAACTACACTAATAAATGGTGGTTCCTTACCTTAATTGATGAGCACACTCGAATGATGTGGGTTTATATCTTAAAAGATAAATCTGAAGCTGTTGCCACCTTTAAAAACTCACTCCTCTTTTGACCCAATTAAAAACTTCAATTCAAATCCTTTCAACCGACAATGACCGTGAATTTTTTAATTCTAATTTAGGTGAGTTCTTGGTAAGAAAATGCATCCTCCATCATAGCCTATGTAC